AAATACCGGGTGGGTCAAAAGTAAGGAAAAATAGTATTTTTTTCCATTTCTATCTTATAGATCGTCGGTTAGGTCTCATATTTATACCACATATACTAGATGATATAAGTAAAAGATTAAGCATATGAATGATATTTAGATGTAGTGTAATTAATCCAAGAGCATACAAATACAACATATGTAAAAAAAAGACCGCACGTACTATTGATTGTTCTCCTGTAGTACTTATATGAGTGAGGAGTGCCATCTAGGAGATAACAATACTAATGGTTATCTCTTTTGTCGACTGGTTTATTTTTCGGTTCTCTTTACTTTTTATGTTGTTTACATAGCTTTAATATTTTTTCACATTTTCCTCATCATGAGTAAAAGTTTTCGTTTGTCGTCATCTGAAAAAATTGAAATTGTGAAATGGTACGCCATTTACCAAAATGCATCTGAAGTTGCTCGTCAATTTCAAAATCATTTTAATCGAACTCCGCCAACATCAAAGAATATTTTGAGCCTTGTACAAAAATTTGACGAAACTGGAAGCGTTGCAGATAAACCTCGATCTGGTCATCTTAGATCTGTTAGTACAGACAATAATAGGGAGCGTGTTCGTGCTGCTTTTGAAGAAAATCCTGGAATTTCAGCAAGAAGAGCTTCTTTGGAACTGAATCTTGATAGAAGTAGCCTTCGACGAATGATAAAGGAGCTGGGATTGAAACCGTATCGTCCTCAATTACTGCATGCATTGAACGAAGACGATCCTGACAGACGCTGTGAATTTGCCGACATCTTTCTCAACTTATTATCTGACGACTCTTCCTTGCTTAGTCGAATTGTTTGGACCGATGAGGCCATTTTCAAGTTGAATGGTCATATCAATCGACACAACTGTGTTTATTATGCCGTAGGAAATCCCCATGTCATCATTACTCAAGAAATGAATACCCCGGGCATCACTGTATGGGCTGGAATTTGGGTTGGAGGTGTCATTGGACCGTTCTTCTTCCAGGATAATATTACTGCAGACAGCTATCTCAAGATGCTCCAAAACGATATTGTTCCCGCTATTGCAAGTGAAATGGATTTAGAAGAGATAGTCTATATGCATGACGGAGCTCCAGCTCATTACGCTCAATCTGTTCGGTACTTTCTGGACAAAACATTTCCTGATCGGTGGATTGGTCGACGTGGATGGATTGACTGGCCACCACGATCTCCAGATCTCACCCCGACTGATTTTTTTTTATGGGCTCTGATCAAAGAACGTGTATACGCGACGAAGCCGCGAGACCTCCAAGCACTAAAAGATGCTATAATCACCGAAACACAAAGTTTACCGGTGGAATTTTGTCGAAGAGCTTGCGAGTCAGTACGTGAGAGACTTCAGCTTTGCAAAGATTTAGATGATAAACATATTGAACAATTTTTGTGAAAAATTTCATAACAAAAACACTTTATAAGGACATGCATTTGTACGTGTTTTTTTCTTTGTCCGAACTTCTAATAAAAGTTTCATTGAAACTCACAAGTTTTTCCTTCTTGTGGGTCATTTTGCATTTGAATGTTTTCGAATCAATTACACTACATCTAAATATCGTTCATATGCTTAACCTTTTAATTATATCATTTAGTATATGTGGTATAAATATGAGACCTAACCGACGATCCATAAGATAGAAATGGAAAAAAATACTATTTTTCCTTACTTTTGACCCACCCGGTAGATAGATAGGTAGATAGATAGATAGATAGATAGGTAGGTAGATAGATAGGTAGATAGATAGATAGGTAGGTAGATAGATAGGTAGGTAGATAGATAGGTAGATAGATAGGTAAATAGATAGGTAGATAGATAGGTAGGTGGATAGATAGATATGTAGGTAGGTAGATAGGTAGGTAGGTATATGTTCTGGTGATAATATCACTGATGTACGTGTAATTAAAGGTAAAAAGGTCAATATTTTTTCCACACACACGGCAAAACACGATCGTTTACGACCGTATACGGAAAAAATATGATCGTTTACGGCCGTATATGACCCCCGTTTTTCTCCGTATTTCGCCGTATACGGTCACGGAAATATACGATCGTAATACTGGATCATGTAATGCGGTGAAATACGATCGTATACGGAGCGTATATGGTATGTATACGGTTGTATGCGACGCCGTAAACGGTCGTTTATGGAGTCCGTAACACTCGACCTGGGTAGAGAATAGAATTTGTTCTTTTCAATTCGTGAAATTAATTACGAACTATAGTTAGATTTAAATGCATTTTCACGAACCTTTGAGATAAAAATCAACGTTTGAGCTAGAGAATAGAATTTTTTCCTTTCAATTGATGAATTTATTTACGAAATATAGTTAGATTTACGTGCATTTTCATGAACCTTGGACATGAAAAATAAAGAAAAAAAATGTATTTCTGAATAAATGTTTACAACGGCAGTAAATCCTGTAATCCATACAAAAAATGACTTCTCTTTCTATTCTTTCTTAAAGGCACTTTCCTTTCGAACAGTTCATGTGCATGCACTCTAAAAAATTTTCGTATCCTAGGAAACCCAAAGAGGCTCGGAAACCTGCTCGGAAACTCTTTTCCGTTTCCGAGTGGGTTTCCGAAGTTTGGAAGCGTTTCTGAAAATACCATTTCGGTTTCCGAACGTTCAGAAACCCAACGGTTTCCGACAATACTCAATTGAACACTCTAAAAGTATTCTAGAATACCTTTTTCTTGCTGTCGGAAACCCAATAGGTTTCTCGAAAATCGGAAAGGTATTGTCGAAAACCCGTATTAGTAGTAAAGCTGGATTGATACCCGAAAGAGTATGCGCAAATACCTTTTCATTTCCTAAATGGTTTCCAAAAATACCCAATATGAAAAAGGGTATCATAGGATACCGAGATGGGTTTGCGAAAATACCCAATCTGAAAACGGGTATCATAGAATACCGAGTTGGGTTTGCGAAAATACCCAATCTAAAAATAGAATCATTGGAAATCAAAATAGATTTGCGAATTTTGTGTTAACACTTAAAAGAGTTCCTAAGGCTTTCAACTTTTCTGATATCTTCATCAATTTTCTGATTGACATCTCAAAAACTTCGCAAAAGGATAGATGTGGATTTGAACCTTATTTTTTTCATATTCTTTCTCATGCTCAGCTTTGAACATTTTTATGAAAGAGCAAAACACCGATCTAATTAATAATTGCGTATTGAATTATTCAAAATTGTTCCTGTATAAACAGTTCCATGAAATGTGAAGCCAGATCATGCTTCATAAATAATGGAATGTTATTTGTGCGTTTTACTGTTGATCTTATTCCTCGGAATATAGAAGAGAATACAATATTAACAAATCGGGAACAAAATAAATAAATTAGACAATTACCATATGTCTTTTTTCTTCCTTTTTTGGTTGAGTTTCGCTAAAGTAAGAATTATATTGTAGCTATCGTGGATGTCAAAAATTACAGGAGGAATGAATTGCAGAAATTTCTATTCTTAAGTGAGAATTACAGTTGGTTTATTTCTAAAGATTATAGGCTTTTAAAACAAACAGAAAACTGCAACTTAAGTCCACATGTTAACAAATTAATGTCATTTATAAGACATATGAACAATATGTTTTCATATAACTTTCACAAGAACATAAATCATGGATCTGATACTTTTGTCTTGTCTTCAGTCACTTTCTAGCTTTGTTCTATAATCGAATAAAAAGAAGGTTTCAATGTGTAAAGTACAAATCAATGCAATTTCTCTTATGTTTAATTATGATTCGCTTTAACTTCATTAGGTTGTGTCGTACTAATTTTGAGATTGGTCGAGGGCAACCGACAGACGAAATAAAATAAGGAAAACAATGGTTATTTCATATTTTCTAATATTAATAAAATATTATATTGAAAACACACTAATTTCTAAATGTAGAGAAGATTGTTAATCATGTTACAATCTTGTTTATAATTTCTCCGTTAGAGAATAGTTTATTAGAAGTTTTACTAAAATATTACGTTTTGGAAGGGAGATGAAATTGCTTATATTTACATTGCATTCATTGGAGACTTAGCTCAAGAACAACTTTTATTTTTATTGTCAGTATAAGAGAAATTTAGCTACAGGTTGACCATTTAAGCGTGCTTTTTATAGTTGTTCTAAATTTTATTTAATAAAAGGCTTTGGGACGTCTATTTTATTACCGAATTTGATGCTATTATTATATATGAATATAAAGATGCCTTAATACTAGAAGAAAGAATAGTTAGAATACTTTTTTAGAGATGAATTTTAGTAGTCTACTCACGTGAAATCCAATGAGCATATTTCACACTACATATTCACAAATGGTTGCTTATTTTCTCAGCCTTTTCGATTTGAATGATATCAGGGTCCTCAACTATCGAACAAAACATCAGAGTAGCTATGCAAGCTGATTCTTTTATTTCTGATTGCATATCTATCGAATAACGTCTCTATAATGAGTAGAAAACGCTTCACTAACGATACTTTTCCCTACAAGCACGCTCAAAAGCAAAGATTTTCTTATATAGAATCATTTTCACTTGAGCAAAATCCTGATGAAACATATTATATTGATCAAAAGCTTCTGCATTAATTCCTCCGCTTTATCAATCAACTCTATCTGAGTAGCCATCTCATTCTCTTCGATTTCAATAATCTAAGATCATATTAATGATCAACTCGAAAATCTGCTTCACTTTAGGAAATGTCGTACCTTCATTTCATACCTCGTTCAAAAGCTTACTATTCTTATGATTTCGGTCGTAAATTCATCTCGATGAATTCTATAATTCATTCGATGTTACATGAAATGTTTTTTTTTCTTACATATGTAATCATCTCAACAGGTAGATGAGTTATTTTAAATGATTTCATAAAATATTTCTAACTTATCATTTATACTTTTCAATACTACATTTTCTCTATCTATTCAGGTGTTTATTTAATTTCATGAATACAACACTTTCCTAATTTTTCTTTCTCTCTCATAACATGGCTCTGGAATTCTGTGAGTTCTAATCAACTAATTAAATTAAAACATTTTTTCACTTTTACTTTTTAGACTCGTTTTAGATAGCCATATATACCGTAAGTTTATTCCAAATATTAAATTAAAATACAATTTCATCTTAATTCATCGATTTGTTTCGAAAGTCGAAAAAAAGTGTGAATTAATTCAATTTATTAAATAAAAATACAATCTTTAACTTTTGTTTGGAGATTCGATCCGTATTTATTAATATATCCGATGAGTTTATTCCAATGACTAAATGAAAATGAAATTCTATTTTTATTTTTAGATTCGTGGGATATCGATAGATCTAGTGAGTTTGAATCAATTTATCAAATTAAAATGAAATTTTGTTTTTGATTTTAGATTCGTTTTATAACTCAATATGTCGGGTGAGTTCATTGCAACTACTAAATAAGAATGAAAGTTCATTTTTACTTTCAGATTCGCTCTCTGTCAATAGATTCAGGGAGTTTGAATCGATGAATAAAATAAAAATACAATTTTATTTTCAGTTTTTGAATTCATGCGATATTGGTAGATCCGGTAAGTTTCAATCAATTTATTAAATTAAAATAATATTTTATTTTATTTTTATCTTCGTTTTATATTTCAATACATCATGTAAGTTTATTTCAATTACTAAATGGAAATGAAGTTTCGCTTTTACGTTTAGATTCGTTTTATATCTCAATATATCTGGTGAGTTTACTCCAATTACAAAATGAACATGAGATTTTATTTTTATTTTTAGATTCATTTAATATCGATCGATTTGGTAAGTTTGAATCAATTTTCTAAATTAAAGTTTCATTTTTATTTTTAGACTCGTGTGATATCGATATATTCGGTGAGTTTAAATCAATGCATTAAATAAAAATACAATTCTATTTTCATTTTTAGATTCGTTTTATATTCATAGATCTGGTGAGTTGGACAAAAATTCTTTAAATTAAAAAACAGTTTCATTTTTATTTGTAGATTCGTTTTATATATTAGTATATATGGAAAGTTTGTTCAAATTATTGTACGAAAATGAAATTTTATTTTCATCCTTAGAATTGTTTTCTCGCAATAGGTCGGGTGAGTTTGAATCAATTTAGTAAATTAAAATATAATTTTCTTTTTATTTTTAGATGATTATCGTAGGGTAATGTTTGATGAGCTATGAAATTCGTTCATTAACTATTTTGGTTGAATTATGTTTTACATGCGAAAGGGTGCTCATTAGTTTTGATGTGGTTGAATGTGAAGAAAACGGGTAAGTTTAGATGATTTTCGATGAAAAATTGTTTCTTTTGTTCATTTTTTAGATGGAGAAGGCCGTTATATTTAGCTTCTTGATGGTTTGGTAATGGTGCGACGAAGTGCATCTGAATAATTAAAGTTTTTCTTTAAATTCCGTGTGTTGCTGACCTTTAATGTCTGTTCTAATTATTTCTTGGTGCGAATAGATTCACAGCAGAACCTCATTGAATGTCTGTGGCCGCTGTGAATGCCTGTTGCTGCTGGCAGAGAAGTGATGGATTTCTGTCTAGGCTAGTTTGGTAGAGCTTTAACCGCATTCGGAAACCTTTTCTTTGGGTTTCCAAAGAGGTATTTGAGGTTTAGCTATAATTGGTACTATGGGTTTCCGAGGTCTCGGAAACCCTTCTTCGGAAATCCTTAAAGGGTTTCCTATAGTAACAAACTCGGAAACCCTCTAAGGGTTTTCGATAATACCTATTTTTTTTAGAGTGTATTGGTTCTATGCATCTGATTATAGTCAGGGATCAGAAGGTTCGATCCCTTTCCCCGGCATCGTGCATTAGGTGTCAAGATATATGGTATCGGAAGAATAAACAAAAAGAAAAAGCAACGATGCACGCCACATCGTCATCATTGGCTCGATTTCGATTTTCATTGTTCGTTTTCATTTCTTTGTATTCTTTCTCTGTTTGTTATCATTATCTTGTCCGTTGTATACATTCGTAAGCGTCCACAAAAATTGCAAAAAATCTTCTAAAAAAATGATGGATGTCACAAATAAAATTCAGCATAATTAAAAAAAAATAAAACAATCGTGAAGAATACATTTTATTTTTAAATTTAAGAGATCATTTGACTTTTTATTGTGAATGCACTATTATCTTCGAATACGCCAGTTTCAACTAAAGGTGACCGATCGCACAAAAAGACTAAAAGAGTTTCAGGAAAGGGTTCGATATTTTGTGACTTTATTCCAAGAAACATCTATAAATCCCACATAGACCTTAACAGTTTGCTCGATCAAATATATGTCCGTGCATCCAGCATGAATCTATATTCTTTGGAAATTGAATATTGCCAGAAAACGATCATTATAGGTATTTGTATGAAAAAAGAAGTTTATGTTTTCAAAAGATATTTTAAAATAAGTATAATGCTGATAATGTCTTTTGCTAAGAGCATCTTTCATGTTATTCATGCAGTTTCAAACATCGTTTCTTCTTACCAGCTCACTCATACGTCGGCATGTTATTAGATTTAGTTGATGTTGTTTTTTCTTGTTTCTGTGAATCGTCTTTGGCACTAGTACCCATATGAGTGCTTTGTCGGGATTTGGAAGCTGATTTGTCCTTTAAGCCATCTTCTTCTGCTGTTGCAGCTATACGTGATCGTGCTGCTGAAGTTGCTCGTGCACGTGGTTTCGGAGACTGTCCTTTCTGTGACAACTGTGCTTCAGACTTGAGGGTGTGGGAGTGGGGTGTAGATGTGCGGGTACCTCAGATTTTGTCGAGGTAGCACGATGCTCACACTCACACTCACACTCACACCCACACAACCATACCCACACCCACACCCAGACCCCACACCCACACCCACACCCACATCCAGACCCACACCCACACCCAAATTTACATTTAAAATAAACTTCAATTTACAAAATTTACATTTAAAATAAATTGGAATTTTCATCTCTGAAAAAATTTTGATTTATTGTCAATATAAAACTCCCAAAAATTTAAATTTAAAATAAGTTAACAGGGAATTGCTACCCCTAACCCAAACTAGGAACTACAACTTGGGAATGAAACTCTCACCATCATATTTTATAGTAAGACGTGTCGACTATTCGAGCCCGACATCTATATAAGTTACCTATTCAGATTACATCTATTTTTTTAATCTTAATTTCAAGAAAAAACAGCAAGTTGATAATAAACCTAGCACAACAATATAAATATTTATTTTTCGTAATTCAGGCAGCTGCCTAAGTAGAACAAGAAAATAAATTATATGATCTAGGTAAATTAAGCGATATAAGAGAAAGAAATCGATAGAGATATAAAGAGAACAATGAACTGTTTACAATTAGGTCGATGGCACGGTATCAATTGAGTCTTTCGCAAACACTTTCTTCTAACGTGAAAATATCATAAAAACATCTTTTTCAGTAGAGAAAATTCTTAGGTACAGGCAACAATTTTGTAATAATGAACTGGCAAAAACCCGGTTCTGTCCGGCCGGTTTCAACTTTTTGTCCAGTCCGGCCGGACAGGTTCTGAGTCTTTTGTGTGTGCTAAGTAGAGGAACATTTCCTACAAAATAGTTTTAAACCAATGAAATTCTCTCTTAAGAAATTTTACAAGGAAAAATTCTTTGTTTTCTACACTTCTTCAGATCCAAACTTCCAATCTCTAGTCGACATTACACCCACACCCATATACCATCAAGAAAATTAATCATTTAAAGTATACTAATATTTATTTTAGTGTCTCAAATATTTTTTCAACATTATTTAATTAATAATGTCTATGTTCCAGTATTAATTTTTCTTCGAATTAATGAAAGATAAGCTTGACCTTCGTTGCTTACTGGTGAGTCATCATTTGCTTCATAACTACTATCCTCAATTGATTCAATTGTCCAACCATTTTTTGATGAAAATAATTCTTCTAAGTCAGATTTTTTTATTCGTCGTGGTCCACCTTCACGTGTTTCTTTTTCACTAAAACATAATTGAATATATAAACCATTCGGTTTAATTAAATATTCAAGATTTTTAATATAACGTTGACGATCATCATTCGAAAAAATATGAAAAATAGCTGCATCAAGAACAATATCATATGAATTTTTCTTTAAATTTGTTGTCGAAAGATCATTAAGTATATCAATAACTTCGAATTGAATATTAACATTTGCTTTTTGAGCTTTTTCACGAGCAACTTCAATTGCTTTTGGTACCTAAACAATAGTTTTATTTTATTTATTTCAGTCGAATAATTGTTAATTTACCAGATCAATAGCAGTAAGATCAACATTGTTTGCTTGACTACTAATATAAATTGCATTATCACCAATACCACAACCGATGTCAAGTACCTTGCCATGAAAAATTCCTTGTTCAACAAGTTTAATAATTACTGACTGAGCACGACCTATTTCCCATGGACCATTGCCAGATCCCGATACACGAAAAAAAAATTCCTGTGATACTCCTTCATTTTCGCTTGTCATGTTTCACAATCTATTTAAAACAAAGTAAGATAAGTAACACTAAGATATCTATATACATGGAAAGAAAAATGCACTGTCAATATTACAGTGCTTAAAAAATAGAACAAAATACTCTCATCATGCTGATTAACCTTTAACGTAAATCAAATCGACATGTATGTACCTATCTCGCAGAAAGAGTGTCATCGATCGTACTTCAATGTACAATGAAAGAACGGGAA